GTGCGCGCACACACGTATGTGTAACATGCAATGTGTATCCTGTACCCCTCTATCGACTTCTATAGAGTTAATGTTGTGTTCTCAACCGATGCAAGCAGAGGACACCAGTTTGATTCCAGTAATGGGACGTTGTCTATCAAGCATCTGCGTATTCCATCTTTCACATTTTGCTGGGAGCGTCCCGTTCAGCCACCGTTGGCCTTGACAGGCAGGGGTTAAGCAGCCTGCCCCCACGTGACCTAAATCATGTTGATTGGAATGTAAAGCATTTTAATTCATTCGCAAAACCAATCATTTTGAAAGTTCTCTGTCTGTCAGTGTGCCTGGTTAAACATTATTTTCATAATGCGCTGTACATATCGTTATCCATTGCGCTGGGGTAGTATGAGTGTAAGCGTTAATCTGAAGAGCTTATTACGCATGTTCATACGCTTGTGTTTTGTGTTAAGCCCCAAGAGCTGTATCGTACAGGAGCAGTTGCTATAACAATATAGACATTGTCTGCATTACTATTAAGAATTATTACTAGCTTTTCTCTTTGTTTCTGTTATCACACGGCTAGGTGAACACCGGAAGTCCCAGACACCGGAAGTGCATTTGGATCCTGGTCCTGGTCCTTGGCTGCATGGTGGTGGTGGCGGGGGTGCTGGGCCTGGCTCTCGCACTCAACAAGAGCGACTCCTCCGACGACTGACACCCTCCACACGCCCGTCTTTCCCCTCCCCATGCAATTACCCTTTTCACAGGCATCCGGATAGAGTATTCTTGAATTTCTGCTATTTCGCACGGACAATATTGATCAGTGTTATAGTCTGCACGTCGATGACCTAGGTCAAATTTGATTACTAGTGCATGGAAGCCTATAGATCTCTATGGAAATGATTATTCTTTCTCTTAGTCTACAGAAATACTTTATTGGTGGCCACGCATTTGTTGGTATTGGATGTTTGGTTATTTATCGGATAGACAAATAAAAACTCTTAAATGGATCTCATGCAATCAGCAATGGTTATATCATGTATTTTGCTGACATGTTAATGTTCTCAGTTCTTATGTATACCAACGTAATACTTGTATGTGTGTGTGTGTATGTGTGTGTGTATGTGTGTGTGAGTGTGTGT